AACTCCCTTCTCTTTTTGAGTAGTGCCATGGTATCTTTAGAGTCCACCTGAACAGGCAGATGAGACCTCGGTTTAACATCTCATCTGAAGGACGGATTTTTTCTATCACTTGGCTTGCTGCAGCATCCCCTGTCTCCTCAGTACCGCCATTTGTGGCTGAGCCATCAGCTACTACCTCCTAACCTGGAACTCCCACTCACTACTCCTCTGTCTATATCTCTTTCTATCACTCTTTACATCCCGCCTTAAACTCTACCGCTTTGACGGTGCCCACGATTACCTTCCGCTTACCCTTTGCTCAGCATTCTACCTCGTCATTGTAAAGTGCTTCGAGATGTTATCCTATATGAGAGGCACTCTATAAATATTGTTGTTGAAAATATTCTGCTCATCACCACAGACTATTACCTAACAATCTGAGTTTTGAGTGAATCCAAGAGAACAGAATTTAAAACAATAACTTAAAAGGAACAAAAGATTCAAGTTGGCAGCTGATAATCTTGTAGATAGTGATTGAAGAGGTGAATGTTCATGTGCTGGAAAGTGGATAGGGAATTCAGTGGAAAGCATGTTTATTGCAAATATGGACAAATTAATGGACCCAGAATCTATTTTCATACCTGTTACTTCAGTCTTTGTACTGTGTATAACTGTACGGCATGTTCGCACTTGATGTGGCTTGAGACCAATTTTGCTGCTGCCACTTAGGATCCTCTTGGGGATAATTGTTTGCAACAGGTAATTAAACATTTTGTTCAGAACAAATGTGTTGCAATATGGTCCAAACACAGCTTGTTTGGTTAGAGCTGTTCTTTGTCAGAGGTGATATCCTGCACCAAACAAAGCTGCGGAATCTGATTGTACAATAGCCTGCAATGGTGGGGGAAGTTTAAAATAAATTAAAATGTAGTCATTTAAATGTGTAAACGTAACAAAACAATGTATATGTATGTGTGTGTGTATATATGTGTGTGCGAATATAGACGGACAATAAAAATATGTTTTGTTATGAAGTCTGTGTTTAGAGATACATTTCCCAAGTGAAATGTTGCAAGATCTATTTTTTGCACGATGATGCAGATGAATGCATTGGAGATGCAGGGAGGCACACTCCAGTGTGCATCTGTGAGGAGAAACCACGGTATATTGACAGCAAACTGGAGCGTAAACAAACCTAATAGCAATAGCACTGGGGGAAATAAGCTACAGAGGAAAAAGGCAGATGTTTGAAGCATTTGCCATTTGATTATACTCAGACGTATTTTCCACACCAGCCCTGTAAAGCACTCTATGTAAAAGGCACTATTTTAGTGCAAGTTGCTGCAGTAACTTCAACATTTCAATTCGAATGAGATGTTAAACCGACTGCCTGTTCAGGGGGATGTTGCAGGTGCTATAATAGCAAGTGCTATAAGGAGTGTGATCGAAGGCACGGTCGAAAAGAAGGGTCGAGATGGGTGTTGAAGGAGCCAAGGGAGGGGGCGAGGTGGAGGGACTGCGGAATGGAGTTCCGGGGGGGGCAGAGTGGCTGAAGGCCCACCCGCCAATGGGGGGCAGGTGATGCGGGGGACGTGAAGTAGGCCAGAGCCCGCTGAGAGGAGGGAGCAGGTTGGTAGGGGGTTAGGAGGTCACAGAGGTAGGTGGAGCAAGGCCATGGAGGGCTCTGAAGGTGAGGACCAGGATCTTGAACTGCATCCTCTGTGTGATGGGAAGCCAGTGGAGTCAGGCGAGGATGGGGGTGATAGGGTCACAAAGCCTGTTGCGGGAAAGGACACGGGCTGCAGAGTTCTGGATGATCTGCAGCCTGTGGAGGGAGGAGTTGGGGAGGCCGACAAGTAGGGAGTTTGCATAGTCGAGCCTGGACGTAATGAATGCATGTATGAGGTTTTCAGCGGCCTGTGGTGTGAGACAGTGGCAGAGCTGTGCGATGATGCAGAGGAGGGGAAGGCAGAGTGGGTCATGGCACAGATGTGGGGTAAATAGGATAGTTGAGGGTCAAACAAGATGCCAAAATTCTGGACTGGCTTAGTAAGGTGGAGTGTGCAACCATGGATGGTGATACTGTCAGTGCCTGAGGCGTGTAGTTGCTGATGGGAGCCAGCTTCAGTCTTGTTGATGTTCAATTGTAGAAAGTTAACTCTCATCCAGGATGATGTCTGACAGACATTCTGTCAGGACAGCAGTGGTCTGGGAGTCAAGGGTGGAGGCAGAGAGATAGAGTTGGGTGTTATCCACATACATGTGGAAGTTGACCCCTCATCTGTGGATGATGTCACTAAAATGGAGCATGTAGATGTTGAAGAGGAGGGGACTGAGGACAGAGCCTTGAGGAACACCGCATGAGATGGAGCGGGGGCTACCGGAGAAACCGTTTGAGGAGATGAAGTGGAGTCAGTGTGAGATAGGATCTGAACCATTCAAGAACAGAACCGTGAAGGTTGAGGTGTATACAAATATACAGTCACTGCACTTCAAGTTTTTACTTCTTCACACCCTGCCCCTCTTCCCAACCACAGTTAACCTCTGCTTAGCACCATACCTCCTTATCATTGCACTTCAACTGGGAGCTAACTGGGATTTACAAGATAGGAATTACTACCTCTGGACTGAAAGCTCCACTATTGCAGTTTATTTAATGGTGTGACCAATGTTTACTGCTGGCCTGAGTTTCAGCTTGGGCCAGGAGTAAACGTTCTGGTCCTTAAGAAACAGAACTGTTCACATAATTACAATAATTCTGATAGTCAACTAATGAACATTTGACAATAGAGTCATCAGGGGAAAGAAACAATTACCAAGTATTGATGCTTAATGGATGGAAAATGTGCTCTATTCAACTTCATTTGGAATATGTTTCGCCCACAAAATATAGTCAATTAACTTTACAGTATATTCTGTGAAGTGCTTTGAGACTTCTTGAAGATGTGATAAGGAGTTTTTATCAAATGCAAGGATTATTATTATTATCTCACAAAGCTTAACTGTCCTAAATAACTTAACAATTGAAATTCTATAAATTGCTCTAGCATTTAACTTCATGAACCTAAAACAAAACTCTTTCAGCTCTGCCACACCTTTCTACAGGCATAAACTTTTTACGTCTCCTGTCACTCCCATCACAGGCTGCATTTGGCAATGCAAATTTCAGCACTTGACTTCTGCAATGTCCATTAAATATTTTACAAAATTAAATGTAGAAAAGCTCTTTCTTAGACAATGAAACAGCAAGTGGGCTGCTCATACCCATGGTGGAGCTGAATAAATCCAGCAATCAATTACCAACAACAGGTTGTCTTGCCCAGGATTACTTTACTTATACCAGATTATTTTGGTGCACTGAGACGTTGCATTTTAGAAATGCTGAAAAGATTAACAAGCCACTTGGTGGATGGAAATAAGAGTAACTAGTTTGACATCTTAATTAATCTTAAGAGTCCTAATCTGTGTTTAATACATTATTGGAAAGCAGGCTAAAAGGGAAAAAGGAACTTTTAAAGTGCTTTACCATCTAAAAATGTGTCAAAAGCACTTTACAGGTGTCAGCCTTGTTCAGTTGGTCACAGTTCTGTATCAGAGTCAGAAGGTTTGTGTGTTTGAACCCCACATTAGGATTTTGAGCTCCGTGAGCCCTTCATAGTCTATGAGCTCACAGGCCAATACTCCAGTACAGTACGAGGGGAAGCGCTACATTGAGAGAGGTGCAAACCCTCATGTGATTTTGAACCAAGGGATCGTTTGGCTGATGGATGTTAAAAGATTTCATGACAGGGAAAGTTCCTCCAAGTGTCCTGGGTAACAATCTTTCAGATCATAATAAAACTGTTTACTTACATCATGGCTGCACACAAATTGGCTGCCATAGTGGTGCATTTCTGAAGTGGCACATCACTAAAATCATAGCAGGAAGGAAGGCAAAGAAATTGCCTAAATTGGAAAATGTAAGGCACTGGGAAAATTAAACATATTAAAAAGATGGATACAAGCTTGCAGCTATAAATTCACAATAAAAATGCTTCTGCAAGAGCTCCACTGTCCTTGAAAATAGTTAGCACACATGATGGTATGTTATAAGAGGTTCTGACTTACAATAAAGGTCACTACAGTTAGTTATTAATAAGGTGATAAGAGATGTTGGTCCACAAAAGATACATTCAATCCATTTTGCAATATATTCTGTGAAGCTCTTTGAGATGTCTCAACCTCATCTCAACCCCATGATAACGCCCTATATCAAATGCAAGGATTATTATTATTATTAGACATCTTATTATTATGAAATGCTGTAAAATGTAAATTCTTTCTTTCACTCGAGGTACAAGCGATTTGCAGAATAATTTCTATTTGAACAATTTAACATCTTCAAAACAAACCACCATCATGCAAAAGACCTACAAATATCAAAGGCAAAAGAAAAATGCACTGGCATCTCACACATAAAGATACATTTGCACATCTTGCAGCATGTAGGCCACCTAGAACCATGGAAATTTACTTTATAGAAGAAAGCCATGTTATCTGCAGTATGTAGGCCTTTAAACACATTTCATTTGAAATTGAAGGCTGTCATAGTAATAGTTATATGCTCCTGTCCACAAACTCTGCTATAGAAAGTATACTGAGTTCATGGCTTGCTGTGTGTCTCTAAGCTCAATTGACAGTGCAGCCAATAGGGTTTTCAATGATACGTGCAAGCATTCAATACGACTTGAAATTCAATAAGGAATATTTTTGCAACATTTGGACACTGCCAAATTTTGCCCTAGGAAGAGAGATGAGGCAATATGGCATACTCAGGATATTCAGGTATCAACTAACAGAATTATCAGTTAAAATGATATCACCAGATGTTACAGAACATTAACTTTCCAACAGTATAAATCAGCAACTGATCCAGCTGCATTATACCATCAATGGCCACCCACATATCGATATGAATGAATGACAAACAAGGATTGTGTTACAGGAGCACTCAGCATGTTGCGACAAGCCAAAGAACATACCAGAGTTCCAAATCCCAGGGTCCAAAAATGCTCGTTCCGCACTTCGAGGACACCATCCAGAGTGGAAACCTGAAACAGTAAAATTAAGGCATTAGTCTGCAGAATGTTTAAAGTTTACTTCACAGGACATCCGGTACTTCTAAACTGTACAAGATAAGGTAACAGAAAGATTTGGTTGCTATTAACATACCACAGCAGAACTTCACAAATTATATCTGCACTGAAGCTTACTGGTGACAGATATTACATGTTCTGGGTTCAGAATGAGCATTTCTATATAGATTGCCATGCTGTCAAAATACCAACTCTTATTTGTATTATTGTATTTATATTTGTAAAGCATATGCATGTGAATTTAATCTGACTTAATTTGATTGGTAATGCATTGCTACAAGTCACCATTTACTTATCTGGGCATCAATGCATTAAGAGGATCGATCACCGGTCAAAATTTTGAACAGTGAATAGATTTCGAAGCCTGCTTTATTGACTGGGGCTGATGAGAGTTCTCTGTGCACACAGCTAAATGCATTCATGGAGCACTGACTGGAGTTTAACAAATTTTTTAAAAACATTACTCCGTAAGATTTCTTAAACATTTCACTGGAGTGGCCACATCATTCAAGGGACCATTTGTCAGTGGAGCTCTAGTTGACTCTCAACAGCTGTGTTTATACTGCAGCAGCATGAATTGAGGTGCTGCCAAAACCAGGTGGTCTCCAGTGTGATTCCCTTTCATATCACTGGGAAAACTGCGCTATACACCAACCATTATTTAACTGTTATTTAATCCACTATTTCAATTTAAAGTTCCAAATTTCCAAATAAAGATCTAACATTTGCAAGTAAAATGTAATTCTCTTGACAGTAGGTTCTGCAACAGTTTACATTCTAAAACCATATTAATTCAGGATAGTTTTGATATCGATAGTTTGGTTTACTCTCGACACAACCAAACCAAAATGTGTCATATTCTTTCAAGTCAATAGGCTGGGTCCAAAAACTATATTTTACCAGTGGCATGAACAAGGTGAAGTTACTGCAAAAAGTAAGCCAGCTTTCCAGTAGATACTAGTGATTTAACTGACCTTGCAAATCTCTCTTGAACTGCTGGCCTTCAGGATCAGTATAATGTTTATTAAAGGGAACAGATACATATAGCAAATGACTATGAGTCTAGTATAAAGCTAAGTGACCTGCAAAACGCCAGAGACAGAAAAGGACTTGGGAGTGTATGTATGTGTACCCCAAGTATCATGGATACATACCTCTCTTAAAAGCTTGTCCAGTTGGCCAATCACATGAGAAGGTGTCGTCTGCAGAAAACAGTTTTAAAATTTTTTTTCAAACTTTCAGGTTACAACAGTATAATTTATATCCTATGTATTAGTTCTGCTCATTTGGTGAAGGAAAGACATTTCCCCTCACTTTTGCTCCTTCAAGAGCTGGTTGACTACTATACACATCTCCAAGGCCAATTTCTCCACGTTATGTCCAGTTAATAAACAATCACAAGCAGGGGAGTGAGTTAGCGTCAGCTCATCCCTCATCCTGTGAAGAAATTGCTCACTCTTGCTGGCCAATGACAGAAAAAAACCACACCAAACCTCAAGTGGCAGAAAAGCTCTGGGCCTCAACCCTTTGACCATGTTGGTCAACAGTAAACATGGATGAATGTAAAAGGATTCAAGTCATCAACACGTCCTTCCTTTGATTTCTTGAGCTAAAGGCTATATCAATACAACTGCCTGTTTGGCAAATCTCAGATCCAGGTCATTGACACTGCTTTTCTACTGTCAAGGGATTCAAACTGTATCAGATAAGAGCTTTCCTACCTGAAGCAGCACCTTTCCACTGTAAACACTCATCGGATACATGGTACCAAAGGTCATAACAGCAATGGCTATAGCTGAGGCGGTGTCAACTGAAAAATAATTACTGGGAACAGAGGTGGGAAAAAAAACGTTGATGAGTAGAGGGCAGTAATACAGACTTGTACATTTTCCATTTCAGATTATAAAGCATTTAAATTATTATGAATACTGCACTACCCATTTTGTTAGTCCGAAAAGAAATATCATTGTGTCTCAGGATAATCGTGCTCACAGTTAAATGGAAAGTAAACAGGTGGTGGAAGTGATAAGATGGGAAATTAACTTTATTTTTCAAAAATTTGTATCTGGAAAAGATATCTCAAAATATGGTTATAGTTTTGAAACAATTATGAACATATTAAGACTCTTGCACAAAATGCTGGTCTCAAATAACAAAATATTTATATATAGAAATCTACAGCATCTCCATTAGACAAACTCCACAGGCAAATGCTGATGTGCATTAAGAGACAATTAATTTTCACGATTTCTTGTACTTTCACAGAGATTTTCCACCTCTGTCTAAATATACAGTACTCTATTTATGTAGCATTTTTTATGTTCTAGAATTTAGCAAATTACTGAATTCAGTGTTAATTTTGTAATTCCTAAAAGAATTTACTGAAAACGAGCTTCAAAATTAAAAAGTAAAAATAATAATCCCTAGATTGGTATAGAGCCATTCATGTCAGGAGGATGGCCCAAAGCACTTCACAGGATATACTGTAAAGGGCAGTGACTGTGTGTATTTTGTGAGCGCATGTAGTGGCCAATTTGCGCACAGCAATTTCATTCATGAAATGAATGACCAATTTTAACTGGGGGGTGGTGGTGTGAGGGGAGGCTATTTATTGGCCAGCAAACCAAGAGAAACTCACTTCTCTTTTTAAATAATGCTATGGGATCTTTAATGTCTACGTGAACATGCAGACGGGACCTCTGTTTAAGGTCTCATCTCATCAATCGGTTGCCGCGTTTGGCCCACTAAACACACAGTCACTACACTTCACAGTGTATCCTGTGAAGCGCTTTGAGACATCTCGAAGACACGATAAGGTGTTATATCAAATGCAAGGATTATTATCCAACAGGCAACACCCCAGTACTGCATTCAAATGTTAGCTTAGACTATACAAGTTCCAAGTTTCAAAATAGGGCTTGAACCCATAACCCTGTGACTCAGAGACGAGAATGCAACTACTGTACAAATGCTCACACAAATAAAATTAAGGGTATATTTGAATATTTGCCGACTTCTGGACTCTCTGAAATGTTACATGTAAATCTAGAACCAGATGCAATTTCTCCTCGTATCTTGTTCAAATAGTCAAATCGCTTATCAATTCTGTCAAAGTTCAGATAAATTACATATTTATAATGAAGGTCACGTACTTTATTTCAATCAGCATGTAGGTGATGCAGAGTGCCACGGCCCCCGCCAGGTCAATCAGCACAAACGGATTCATACGAGGAAGCAAAATGCTGCTTAAACTGGGAATTATCCCACATAAACTGGAAAGGTAAAATGCATGATTAGGACCCGTTTATGAAAAGACTAAAGACTTATCCCACTGTCACGAAAGTATCACACAGTGCATGCCTTTTTCCCTTACTCTGCATCATTACATCTGAACTCTAATAACAACTGGACTTTATGGCCAGTAGCTCACAGTTCACTACAGCATTGTGGTCTGAAGTGGACATGCAAGTAGTTGTCATGCAGATAACTGGTGTTCTACTACTTGTCCTTGCAGAATAATAGCAATTTATTGAGACCTAAGAACTATTGTAGAAACACTGACAAAGTGGTACGCAAGAACAGCCCACATAACTCCCTCTCCAATTTCTCCCTTTTCCTGCAACAACTACCTGGCTACCAACCAGCCCACCTAACAATAGCTTGACTGAGAGAGAGAGAGAGAGAGATTGCAGTGACTTTTTTAATGTATTGCAAACAAAATCCTATGTACTGACACAGCACAACAGTGCCTTAGCAGGTTTTGTCACTGCACTGGCCAAAAAGGTAGAGTTGAACAAAAATGTTTTAAAATATCCTTTTTTTTCGCTCCTCTGAACAATCCCTTCTGTACAGACACATATTCCCCCCACCCCCACGAGATTCTGCCCCCTCACCGACAGACATCACCCCTCCTGCACAGATGTAGACTCTTCCTCTCTCCCCCACCCACACACCACCTGCCAGACATCTCCTGCCAGACATCTCCAGACAGACAACCACATTAATCTACCTTCTTGGCCAAATTTAGCAGATTTGAACACATTTGCAGTCAGTATGACAAGCATGTAAATCACAAATATTCTTGGGAGTGTAAAANCTATTGTATAAAATATTATCCGCCCCCACCCCTTCACCAGCAAGGTAATGGAGAATAGATGCCTGGGAGTGATTAAAAGGCAGCTATCTGATCCAAGGGCTATGGATTATGCAATAAATTGAAGAGTGAAGCTTTAAGTGGTATATTACTGTCATCCGAACTACAAGATGAAATTACAGCCTTGAAATGACTGCAGAGTATTCTTTTTTTTAATAACCATATAATCTGATCATATTCAGTTTGGAATCCTTTTTAAGTGACAAGCAGTGTAAAAGTCAATAGGCACTGTGCTTCTTATCATTAGTGCATCATTAATGGCAATGTGGCTGAAAATGCAGGAGCTACTACTTGGATTCATGAATAATGACTCCTGCCAGTAACTAGAAATGAGCAACACTGAGCCTTGGGAACTTTTCGATCTACTTCTATGTTATAGAGGTGTTTTTGCGGATTGGCATGACACATTTCTTGAGGTACAATGATGTTCCAAATTGAAAATCCAGCACTTCCAACACAACACCAACATTGGTACTTAATGATGAAAAACTATTAAGTAATCAGTAAATGTCGATGCAAAATAATTTGTGGTCATTTTTTGCAAAATAAATATTTTGGCTAGAAATTCTTCATGATGCTAAATGTAGCAGCTTAATATGCACTAACTCAGCCTATTGGCTCATATTGTCAATGTTTAGTACTGGCTGTTACATTAGACAGTAATGATGAACATCATTTTGCAATGTATCATTCTCGATAGTCTGGTAATAGCAACTGGGTTTGCACAATACTATATGCACGTATAGTGGCCATTTAATAGAAACCAATGTTAAAAGCAGGTCTTTTAATTACAGATCATTGCCTGGCTCAAGAAACATGTTAGTGACCACAGCACGCAGTACTTGAACGATTGATCTTTATCAGGCAGTTTTGAAAAGTGCAATCCACAGGGACATCATAGGATCAGCTGATACACCCCTACTCAACAAGGTTAATCTTCATCTAAATCACAACAATCTGTCCAATTGTGAGGAAAGGACAAATTACAGCAACAATTACCCTTCAGCCGTTTCAAAAACGTCTAATTTGGCATCTTGTAGTAAGATCGGGGTATTTAATTTGAAGAAGGGTTAAATTACTGCTTTCGGCACAATGACTTCTTTTGTGGCGTGGAGACCTTACACCAGGCATAGAATGGCTACAGGCACTCCACTCAAATTACCTGCTTCCACAAACCCAACCACCTGGACAAAAACCCTCAGTTATAGTTGCCAGCTTGCAAATGCATTTGTACCAAAAATATCACAAAACTAATGTGATGAGTACCCACATAAAGTGTCAGAAGAACTAATTTAATGAGAGGACCAGCTTCACATCGATTTCCAGCCTTTTAGGGTTCATAAAGATAAATGATAAATGTCCAATCCCTCTTACCTTCGACTTAGATCAGCAACGTGTTCCTGAAGCCAGCTTGTACTAGCAGCTGTAATGACAGCAGGAAGGTCCATTACATTTCTTGTTCTATTGTTATCCTTAAATGAACACCCTGAAGCATTACAGATCTAATGCAATATACCATACGTTGATACTATATATAACAAAAAAAAGTCTTTGTTTCCCAATATAGAGAGGTTAAATGTTCTTTTTTGTTGTTATTGATTGCCGAGAAACCAACTCATTACTACAGGACTGTATTGATTCATAAAGGATCCCCCTTCAAAGCAGGCTTACTGTACTTTTAAATCTAATCAAATGCAATGGAAGCAACTGAATTTGGATATAGTCTCCAATGTCTACCTTAAAGCTGAATGAAACAAATTAGATATAAACAGAATTATCACCCACACACAATGAAAATGTAAGTATACTTAGTCTGAAAAGATGAACTATTACTCAAACACCAAATTTCTTACTCTGGTAAGGATTCACCCTCTTTCTATCTCAAGCGGTGGCTAGTGACCTGTGCAGGTGTTTGGCGAGGTCACACCAGCAAATGTCAGAGAGGATGAACATGTTACTGCAGGTAACTCACCCTCCCTGTGAAGAAGTGTCCATTTGGCAACTGCTTCTCATGACACAGATGTAATATCGCCAACATACAAGTACCCACAAACTCTAATAGAACACACAGCACAACACGCAGCATGACCGCTTCAGAACATCTTTCTTTCATTTCAATATTATACTTGCTATTATTTCGTTCCCCACACTCCCAATCATTTCTTTTGACTATTTTGGTCAAGAAGGGAGAGGGAAAGAACAACAACAACTTGAATTTATATAGCACCCTCCACGCTGGATGGCGCCTCAGAGCGCTTTACAGTAATGGATCCCGCCGCCGAGCCAGGGGGAGGGGAGGAAGGTGATCAAAGGCACGGTCGAAGAGAAAGGTCTTCAGCAGAGACCTGAAAATAGGAAGAGAGGGAGTGAGACGAAGGGAGTGAGGAAGGGAATTCCAGAGCCTCGGGGCATAGTGGCTGAAGGCATGGCCGCCAAGGGTGGAGCGGAGGACTCGGGGGACGAGGAGGAGGCCAGACCCGGAGGAACGAAGGCAACGGGTACTGGTTTGAGGAGAGAGGTCAGAGAGGTAGAGGTGTGCAGAGGAGTGCAAGGACTTGAATACAAGGGTGAGGATCCTGAAGTCGATCCTCTCTGGGACAGGCAGCCAGTGCAGTCTGGCAAGGACTGGGGTGATTGGGGAGCGGAGTTTGGTGCGGGTAAGAATGTGGGTTTTGAATGATCTGAATTTTATGCGTGGTAATGGATGGGAGACTGGCGAGGAGGGCGTTAGAATAGTCCAGCCAAGAGGTGACAAAGGCATGGACCAGGGTTTCAGTGGCTTTCGGAGAGAGGTATTTGCAGAGGAGGGCGATGCGTCGGAGGTGGAAGAAGGCGATGCTGGTGAGGGACCGGATGTGGGGGAGGAAGGATAATTGGGCCTAGGTTGTGTACAGATTCGGAGAGTTTTAGGGGGAGGTTTGGTAGGTGGAGGAGGTGAGAGCCGTGAGATTTTAGACTTTGACGAGGGCCAAAGAGTATGGCTTCTGTCTTGTCAATGTTCAGCTGAAGGAAATTTGTACTCATCCAGCCCCTAAAATCTGACAGGCAGGCTGACAGAATATCAGGGGACTGAGGGTCGCAAAGAGAGGTGGAAAAATAGAGTTGGGTGTCGTCCGCGTACATGTGGAAATGTACCCCATGTCTGCGGATGACATCCCCAAGAGGGAGCATGTAGATCAGAAAGAGGAGGGGGCCAAGGATGGATCCTTGGGATACCTCACAGATGACCGGGTGAGAGTGGGAGGAGAAGCCGTTTGTCCAGATCTACTGCTGGCGGTTTGTGAGGTAGGACTCGAACCAGGCGAGTGCGGTCCCACTGAGGTGGATGACAGAGGAAAGACGGTGGAACAGGATGGCGTGATCGACTGTGTCGAACACCACGGAGAGGTCCAGGAGGACAAGGAGGCAGAGGGAGCCCTGGTCATAGATAGAGAGGATGTTGTTTGTGACTTTCACAAGTGCAGTCTCTGTACTGTGGGCGGAAACCGGACTGGAGGGGTTCGAAGAGGGAGTGGGAGGAGAGGTGTTTGCGAAGTTGATTGGCAACAACGCATTCTAAGACTTTTGCGAGGAAGGGCAGGTTAGAAATGGGGCGGTAGTGGCTGGGGTTTGAGGGATCAAGGGAAGGTTTCTTGAAGAGGGGGGTGATGACAGCAGTGTTGAGGGGGGCAGGGCCTGATCCAAAGGAGAGGGACTGATTGATGACATCAGCCAGTAGTGGGCAGAGGAGGGGGAGCTGTATGACCAGCAAGTTGGTGGGGAGGGGGTCGAGGCAGCAGGTGGAGGTGATGGTGGGCGAGAGGGAGGAGGGAGAGATGTGGGGAAGGAATGTAGAATGGGGATGGTAGAAGGAGCAGATGATGGGGAGGGTGAGGGGGACAGAGAGGGGGTGGTGGTGGGTGACAAGATGCAGGTGGATGAGGCTGCCTGGTGGATGTTGTGAATTTTAGATGAAAAGAAGTCCATGATTTCCTCGCACTTGGCATTTGATATGAAGATTGAGGAGGCCTGAGGTGGGGACAGAGGATGTAGTGGGTGGTGGAAAAAAGGATTTTAGGGTTGTGTTTAGCCTCCAAGATGATGTTGGAATAGAAGGCCGTTTTTGCGCGTTTCAAAGAATGGCGGTAGCTGTGGAGATGCTCGAGCCACAGTTAGCGGTGGACTGTCAGGCCAGTTTACCATCATCTGCGCTCGAGCAGCCGGGTTTGGGTTTTTAGGCGGTGGAAATGGCTGTTGTACCAGGGGGATCGGGTGGGCTTGGAGATGGTCCTGGATTTCAGGAGGACGAGGGAGTTGAAGGTGGAGGAATGGCGATCATGGAGCAGCTGGACAGCTGCTTCAGGATCTCCGCGGGTGGAAGGCCAAAGGGATAGGATGTTTGATGATGCAAGGGCCTTGAAGACAACAATATACAGGTTAATACCATCAATGTCATATTTTGTTGAAATCTAAACACATGTCTGTACGAAGGGGATTCTGAAAAATTCCTGTGAAGTTATTATATAAGCAGAAGATGCATTACAGCTCTGTATGGTATACTGGACAACTAAACAAAGAGCTCAAATATTTTTACAATAAAATCCGTTCAACAAACATTAAAACTGTGGCTTGATCTTTCTATTTGAAGTTGTCCTGCTATGAAAATGTAAATGAGACATTGCCCATCAAAAACAGCTTGACCAGGTACAGATGTAATCAGGCTCGCTGTAGACTTGTGGCTGTTGAGACTAAGTTAAAAGCTGTTCACTTTCATTTGTTACTTTTCAAAACATCAATCAAAAGAAAGCTCATCTTAAATTGCTTACTGGATTGATTGGATGTCAAATCTAATGGAAGATTTCAAGTCTTCCCACAACTCCATGGGTAATTGCATCACATGGTGCAGCATTGAGCCATGAAGACCAATGTTTACACTACCATTGTCTTGAAGACGTGATAAGGCACAAAATCAATTATTACCAGGAGTGAAACCACTTTGTATTTGGCAGCATAGCAGTCCAGAGAAGGAACTCAACAACACCAACAACAAGATTTCATTTATAGAGCGCCTTTTACATCGGGAGGACGTCCCAAGGCGCTGGACAGTTGGGTCAGGACCCGAGCAGGGGGGAAATTGTCAGGGTGAGGGGAGGGAAGGGATGGAGCGAGGAGGGGGTAGAGAACTCGATCTATTCCTCCCACTTTGTATACCTTTCTCCCCACACTCTACATTACTTTGATTCAAGAACAAACAAAAAAAATCCACACACATGATCTTGGGGTTCTGAACATCTTGGCACACCTTGGATTGTGATAGTGTCATTTTAACTAAAATCAAATATCTGCATTTTAATATAAACATTTTGGTGGTGAAATTCGTTAATTAAAAATATTTCTTAAAATTGCTCACGTTCTGAGTGCTTTGAGCAAAGTCTGGTGGAGAGTCCAATGAGATTTGCACTCACTACGTTACTCAAGGTAGGAGCCAGGAGCAGGGCTCTTTGTACAAACACTATTCCAGCCTTCAATTATACTGAACATTTGGCCCAAATCTTGGTCGAGGCAACAGTGGGCAATCACTGTATCCTCATGCTCAGGAATGGAGGAAAATACATTAACAGGGTTTTCACTCCCAATTATTGCTCAGCAATATCAGCTGGAAACACATGTATAGAAATTAGGCTCAAGTTCAACTATGCAGGGAACCGAATCAAATTACCAACTGTGAAGGCTCACACATGAAGAATAAACATGAAACTGAATTATACATTAATTAGCTCTGTTTAGATGGGTCAAGAAAAACAGATTTTTTCTCTTAGCCACTCTCGATCTTGGTTTCACTAGAAGGTGACGAGCAGAGGCTCATAGTTTATAGAGAGCACAAGCCATGAACTCACAAGCCACTGTTATGTGGCATAATACATTGCAGTATCAATATGCAAGACTGCTTTAAAGACAAGATCACAATGAAGCAAAATTAATATCTTAAGATAAGGACTGAGCTTCTGTGCATACAAAATTGATCTGGTTATAGAGCAAGCATATTGAACTACTTTAATAGTTAAAAAGCAACAATGGAGTTTCAGCAACTCCAACAGCGAGCACACGTTGCTCCTTTTCAGATCCTCAGATAAAATGCTGGAGTACCATCCATAGCTATGATTGACAGTTTTGAAACTATCTAAAATGGAAAGCGTGCTTCTCAAGTGAACAGGAAGCAACAGCTCTCAACTGGTGAAATACAATACTTGCAACCAAGAGAGTTGTGAATTTCTACCAAAATAATGGAAATGCCAGACATTCCAAATAGGGAAGTTTATACTGTACATGTTTTTTAAAAAAAAATATTTTAGGGGGAAGAGCATGCTGTTATGATTCCAAAGGTACTACCTTTGGAATCACATAGTCTTAAGCTGACATTCCAGTGAAGTGCTGTGTTGCAATGTTGGAAGTGCGTCCTTCAGATGAGACATTTTACTAAGGTCCCGTTTGTCTGTTTAGTTGGATGTTAAAGATCTCATGGAACTATTTGAAAAGAGAACGGAGTGTCTACCGGTGTCCAGGAGGAGCAAGGCCGAGGGATTGAGGCAGGAAATTCCAGAATTTCAGGGACTACCAGGAGGAAGGCACCTCCACCAATGCAGCACACCCATAGCATTCCATTGGAGAGCATTCCATCGGCGCATAGTCTATATGGGTTCCACGTCCTGATGTGGGGCTTGAACCCTCAAACTTCTGACTCAGAAGTGAAAGTGCTTTCAACTGAGCCAGGCTGACACACATATTTATAAGCTCCTGAACCAAACTCAATTTAGCTTGGCTAATGGTGTGCTGGAGGATTTGTGCTAGTGTCATTTTAACAAGTTAATGGTTTCAATTCAGACACTTGACCAAAAGTTAGTGAGCAGTTAGTGAGCTCCTACAAAGGTAAAATTCTTCAATTAATATTCTAACTACCTGTGGGCAACATTTCCAAGTTACCTTCTCAATAAATTAATTTTGCCCCTCAAAATAATCCAGAATTAATAAATAGATTTTTTTTAAAGTACTGTATTGATTAACCATGACAAATATTTATAAGTTCCTAAATAAAACTCACTTTATCTCATTAAATTTATCACAAATCAATTATTAGAAATATCACACCGTTTTCTCTTGATCGAAAGATATCAACTCCAAGATATAATTACTGAAGTGTGCCTAATAGTTTATGACAAACTGACCTTGCGATTTCAAACTGCTGTTGTGACTTGTTTAGACCCATGGAAAGTCCATTTTATAAAGCTTCCAATAGCTGAATGTATGCTCCTAAACTGACTGTCACCCTGATGTTAAAATATTCATGAGATGTTGGGGAGAATTGTTATCTGCCAACAAAACAGATTGAATCTGGTTGTATTTTCACATGTTGTTAAATTCACCAGCAGCGTCTTTGCAGCTGTGAAGCGGTTTACTGTTTCTTCATGAACCTCCATTGTCAAAACTGCCAATCAATTCAGAGTGGAAACAATGGGAAGCCATAGAAGGGGAAAAAAAGGCTTCAAGTCCAAAAACAAGACCATCAAGTCTTCAAAACAAGTCTTTTTTTTGCACACTTAAATCTGACCACATTTGCTAAACTGTGTTTTACTGCCAGGCACTGGTATGTGAGATGGGTTTGAAAAGTTCAAAGATCTCATGCTCACTATTACCTGGTTTAATTCCTTGCAAGATGACATTTAGCATTGTGGTGAATAGCCACTCGGGTAATGCAAGCTGGGTTCAATTAAAGGTCGTACTTGAGATCACGATAAAGTAGCAGTGAGATTGGCTCATCTGATAATCATGGCATGCTTTTCGGGGTTAAAATTAATTAACAGCACCAAAGAGTTTGCAGTTTTCTTTCATAGAGTTGTACAGGGCAACTCTACTACAGTGTGGTGGTCTGGGACCAGAAACACAGACTTCAACATTAAAACAAAGCACACAAAAAAAACACTACCTTCTGGGTTGTCAGTTTGTTGTTTGTGTCGCTTCCTGCAAAATGCACATGCAGAGAGAGCCACAGATATTTTCTATATCAAATGCAAGGATTATTATTATTATTACATCCTTCCTATAAGCAGACCATCACTAAACGGGGGCACGTAATAACAAAGGCCACCTTGTACAAGACTCATGCACTAAGTTGAGATGAAAGCATACATTATATGATCAAGTTATAAGGTACGTACAGATCCACATGACGAGGGTCTTGCACTTTGATTGGTAATATTGGATGACTGGGGTGGGGCCTTTTCTTAGGAGGAGGTGTAGTGTGGGACATATGCTTTATTATTATTATTTATTATTATTTTGGGCTTAATTGCTGTTTGTAGGGGATCTTCTGCACTTGCTTAGAAAACAGGAGCTACGTTTTAACGTAACTTGTGTTGTATGTGATGCACTTTTAGATGGTTTTGGCATAATAAACCAAATGCCAGCAGTAATGTTGTATTCTTATTACCACATTGAGAAATTAACAAATCAGTCTGTTTCATGATTGTAGCTTTTTAAGATATGTTTTTCTGCTGCAATGCAATTTTTTAGAAAGGACTCCTATGCAATTCTTTAAACTGCATGCCAACATGTCAGGACTTTGGGATCACAATCTAGGCTAACATGCCAGTGCAGTGATGGGAGAGTTCTGCATTGTCAGAGGTGCTGTTCTTCAGACATTAAATTGAGGTCCCATCTGCTGTTAAGTTGACATTCAAGCATGACAAAGGAGCATCTCCTGCTCATTTATCTCATTGTCATTACTGATTCATTTCTGCAGCACTTGCCTACAAATTACTTGAAGTATTTTGAGACGTTTCTACGTTATAGACACTTTGCAAATATAAGAATTATTATAATATTAAAAGGGAAGGGAGTTTCTCCCAGTACCCTGCCCTCCTCATGATTAATTGTTTTTTCACCTCATGGTGCTTGAGGGACTCAAAAAGGTTGCCATATTCGCTTATAAAAGTCATTAATTACTATGAAGCCCTTGGAGACATTTCAACATTATACCTGGTTGAAATGATGGTGGAGCAAATTGAGCAAGGGAATGAAGCAGGCCAATGTTAGCTGAGCAGAGGCAGCTGCTGGAGCAATGTGGTTGCAGGAGGTCATGGGGTGAGGCTGTGGGAAACATGAGGACAAGGATATATTCAATTGCTGGGCGATGAGGAGCTAGTGGAACCAATTACGGATGGGTTGATAGTGTCACAGAGCAGGTGCAGGTGAGGACATGGACTAGAGAGTTCTGGACGGTCTGCAGCTATTGTAAGGAAGAGCTGCGGAGTCTGGCAAACAATACAATAATTGAGACTGTGATAAAGGAGTAGGTGACGGTCTTGTCAGCCCAGGGAGAGGAAGAATGACAGAGCCAAGGCTGATCAGCAACACTTTGACTACAATTTCACATTTGTAAATTTAAGCTTGTTCATTTTTAATAGGTATCAGTCCCAAGGGTCAAGATAACTTTGTTTTTCCACCTTCAGATCATACTCTACAGTGATATCTTTAATATATGGTCAGCAATTATGAATACTGCCAGAAGAGTAAAAAACCTCCTTCCTTGGTAGCCCAAGGTCAGAAGTTGTCTCCTGTTAGATGGGAGCTCTGCATTATTAGGTTACATTCATCTTGAATTAATTAAACTGAAGGTTGAAATGTCTCCAAGCACTTGATAGTAATTAATTACTTGTATAAATGAACATGGCAACCTTTTTGACCACAGCAAAGTCCCTCAAACAACCAGGAGGAAATAATGCTAGCTTTTTACAGTACTGCATATTGAAAACTTTGAAAAGGTTTTTAAGCTCAGCACGCTGTAATACTGTATGCATTATCTGCATGGATCCTTTTTATTGAACTGCTTTTGGTAGATGTTAAAGAGAATTGGAGATAATGGCAGAACGATACAGCATTTCGGCATTTGCAGTATATCTATAATTGATAGCAAAAAGGGGAGGGATTTGTCTTACTCTCAGAGATGTATTTTAGAAGAAATGAAAGCAAAATAAATATGATTTTGAAAAGCCAAATACTGATACCGAGTGGTGATGGTCCAGGAAACTAGCTTGGAATTGTTACTGAGTAAATCTGAGAGTTCGATTAATACCAACCTTTGAAATTAGAGGATTACTGGAGAGACAGGCTACTCATGTTAAATCAGCTAAAACCTTTTAACCAGTTCCACAGAGAACGTCAAACAAAAAAACAGAAAAAAGCCAAATATATAATTCTTTGCAACTATTTAACTTGTGAAAAGGAGTCTATGATAGTGAAAGACCACCTAGTGCAATCTTTACTACATTCCTAAATATGATGAATCCAGGACACATTTTGTGGACATTACTGGATTCCCCACAGGAAGAACGGAAACATATTGGTCACGAGCAGAATGCCCTCAAATATGACATTGTTTTGTTATCAATACGTGTTAACGAAGCACCATAATAACTTTTTGACTGCTTACTATGCATAATTGACTTTCTCTAGGTCACTTAAAGCCTAACAGCAAAGAAAACATTGTGTTCTTAGAAGTTGTCACTATGTTGAAGCCAGAAGTTGGCCTGCGAACAGGAACACACCTTCAGACACGTAAGCAAAAGGCTTGTTCTTCAAAGACAGCATGGTGAGTAAATTGAAGAATAGAGCCACAAAGGTACCAACCAGGAGGCGCCCCCTGCCGGATACAAAAAACATTTAGCAAATAGTGCAAGGTCATTATTTCTTTCTAACATCTAATGGTAATATTTCCAAAAATGTTACTTTTTTTTAGTATTTATTACCCGTGAAAAATTAACTCATCTGAAACTCAACAATTTCTCTTCAAATAACCCAAGAGTTTGAACTCACTTTGAATTTATTAAGGACAGACTGTCAACAGATCTATTTCTTCTATCCCATGACGTTAAAACATGGATGAGTTTTAAGAACATATAAACTGTAGATCTCATTAAGATTTAAAGTGTTAACCAATCAGCCATACCACTCTTTCCCACAAAACACACAGCCAAACTGCACTACCCAAACCAGTGAAGAGTTTTAATTAAGAAAAACAATGAAGAATATTTCAGTCTGGTTAAAAAATTGCAAACTGTTACTAAATAACCAATTTGTAAAAAAAATTAAAACTTACGTATGAATCTCAGGCTGCTCCACAAATCGCTCCACACTGTGGAAAGTGAAGTCAGATTACAAAAATTAAATTGTTGCAGAGGTAAAGATACTGAAAGGAATAGTATACTTGAATTTCTTCCTCATCAACACATTCTAGATTAATTTATTTGTGTCCCTGAACAAATTGATGGTCTACTTTCAAATCATAAAGCTGCACAATTGATTTGCACATACGTTCACACATCACACAAATCTGAATTTGGTCTTTATTTTACATTTTCAGAATTGAGTTAAGTGATAATTTGCAATCTTTTATTCTGGTACACAATGCTCCTATTCAACGTTTAGTCCAACTTGTATTACAACGCTAAACAATGATTAATTATCCAGTTCTAAATCACATTATGGTAACATCTGGAGACAATATTTGACAAATCTGTGTCGACAGCTATCTGAATAACTGGTGTAAATGTTATTCCACTTACAAAAGATGCATAAGCATTAGTTGAACATGTAGAAGACAAGTGAGGAAATTAAATGTCTCAGGAAGCTCTAAGAGCGTGGTAATAGTTATTGGATGGAAATGGTACAGTAACTCTAAATTCACAATATAGTATAAAGATTTAGAGAATACATACTTTCGCAATCTAGGTTTTCTGCTTTTGCACATATTGCAGAGAACAATAATGTTGCCAAATTAAACAGATTTTTACTCTGTCCCCTAAAACAGCATCAAATAAACATCAAATAAAGACAGGTGCGGAGTACGCTCAACACAAAAGATTGGCTTCTGCTGCATTACACTAAAAATAACACTGCATGTTAACTACAACCTCAGGAGCCCACACACTATCACATTTGAAGGAAGTTTTAGAGAATGAACTCCACTGATAGTTCAATTTACTTTGGGCCCTTAACAACTGTCCTCTTTCCCCGACCTAAATTAAAATCCTACAGCAAGTAGTAAAAGACCACTGGTACAACTCAATTTTATACCAGTCCATTTAGGATTAAATGTATGGAACGTATTGAGGTCTGAGGTTTGAATCCTGGTCTGCGCCGCATTACTTAATCTCAGCCACAAATTCTACAAGATTAGAAATACTGCCCTGATTGGGGAGATGGTGAAAGAGATAATCAGTTGGGGTTTTGCTTTCCATTGATCCCCTGCTGGAAGGGCATGTTTGGGTATCAGGCGAGGACAGAATTACAGTAATTTACAGTAAAGACTGTATCCAGGTAACCTGTCTCCTGGGCATACAATAGTAAATGACACAAGGGAAATCTAAAAATAGAGAATTTTTTAAAAGTGGAGGGGCGCCGGGGGAGGGGGGGTAAGAATTGTTCTTTTAATATGGAACATAAAAAACATGGATGACAATTCATTGACAAATATGGCTCATGAAGATGTTGCTATAGATGGGGCCACTCTGGATCCTAAAGACACTATTGATTTATCTTAATTATGTTAATGATGTCTTTTATTTACACATTTTGGAGGAGCACAGTAAAAGCTGTTCTGGACAGTACAAAACTACACTTGTACAATATTGTACAAGAGATTCTTAGTTTTCCTCAACATTTCAGGACCTGCTCTTAATGAAACCACTTCCAGAAATAATCAGACAGAATATTTGTGGTAACATTCAGCTTTAGAGCTTAAATTAAAATGTCAACAATACCAATAGATTTCAAATACAATTTATATGCTTTCTGTTTACAAAATCTCATCCACAGTATTGATTACTTACGCAAATATTTTGAATCTCGACAGAACGTTAAAACACATGGCCAATGTCCCCTCTCTTTTGGCATGAATCTAAAATACTCTCAAATTCCCCAAGTATTGCTCCAATGTTGAAAGGAGCAATTGTATTCTCTCATTCATAAAATATTGATTAGAATGATGCATGTTAGGCCGGGATACACTTTCACGGTAAAATGTTAAGTGTCAATCAAAAGGAAAGAGAGCCACATTCCTACCTTTCTTTGAGTATAAAGAGAGCCCCGAGCTGTGCCAGTACAGTGGCAGCGAACACTGCTAATACTTCAAACCTCTCAAACCTGAAATTTAAGCATCGGGCAGGAAAACAAGCGTCACCATTGTAAAACAATACATGACTCTCAGCAAGGCATATGCTATGCGCTGAAGAGAAAAAGGAACGACTGAAATACACGACTAAAATAGTTTTAACTTGAAATACGTAAGACATTACAGTGACTCACTAAACACAAGAACTGATCCTCTCAACATTTCAACTTTAGATCACGCAGCTTTTTTTTTAAAAAAAGGATGTTTATCAACATATTGATCTTAGAATACAGCCTCAAAATGTCCCCAAAAATTAATGCGACATTTCAAAACCGATGCATACTATTGACAGAGTTTGATTTGCAATACCACAAAACTACAACATATTTTAGGGGGTTAGTTGAATTCCATTTTTCAGTGATGCATCAAAGACAAAAATAAATTACATAAATTGATATTAACAGGCTGCTTGCAAAGCTATTAGCCCAACTATGTAGAGGATTCCTAAATCAGCATCCCAGAAGAGTAAATATATCTAACTTATTCAAAATAAAGATCTCATTTCATGTTCAGACTATTGGTATTTGGTAAATGCAATTAACTATCTTTAATTTTAAGTTTCTAAATGAGCTACGTTGGAATTAGACGCTGTAGCTTTTGCACAAAGTGGAGGGAAGTGAAGCAGAAAATGCATTCTCATATTCTGGAAAGACGCTATTCTCTTTGAAAATTGTATCTGATACCTACAGTAAAAATCGTTAAATCAATGGGAAGAAAATTACAACAGATTCTAATTTCAAAGAGGTGTAAAACAAACATATCCCTTTAAAAGTTTTTTTTAAAATTGTTATGCACCACAGAAAAATGTCCTTCGCTTCAATGCAGCCAACTTCAGTTATTTTCAGTTAGAGATAGCTGGGCAAAATACATTTTGTGGGGTGGGGGAGGCTTTCACATATGCAGAAAACCATCACTATGTTTGAGAGACTTCAAACCGAACTACTAAGAGTTGCACATCTGTATGTTTTACGTTTGCCTGGTATGGAGTGTGCACTCTCTCAGAGGTACACATACTACATATTTAATTTCAGAGTTTCGGTGCAGGTTGGCAAGACCCCAGAGCACTCTGAGAAAACTCCAGACAAGCCTGAAAATTATAATGAAGGTCTTCAGATTAGTTTTCCCCTTCTCCCCTCCTTTCAAAAACCTCGAAGCAGTGTTTTTTGGCAATCTTCCATAAAGATTTTAATATTTAAACAGCACAAACTGGAGCCAGACAGACATTCTGGTTCACTGAGAAGATTACCCAGTGGTCTCCATGTGACCAAGATATCAAGGTACTGGCAGGAAGTAGGTTTGCAACTGCAGGCAGAGCAGGGAAATGCTGCATCTGGCTAACATGCACAATCCGCAACTAAGCGACTCTGTATAGATGACTGTGGAAGCTGCCCGGTAAGCAGAGGTTGATGATGAAATGAACACATCCCCCGGTGCAGTTAGTTTCCTGCTGTTTATCTCCACCACCAGCCCACCCCCCACATGTTTTTTTTCAAGGAAAAGTTGCTCCAAAGCACCATGACATAATGGAAGCTAAAGGTACCACATGATGTTGCCAGAGGAAAGAAATGAAAGAAGGATCATTGGTCTCGTGTCCAGCCAAGATCTTCAAGGAATGCCACACCAAAGAGGAAAAAGCATATATAACTCTAAGAATGAGTGAAACACTGACCAGTGAGGATAATTTTAAAAAAATAAGACCCAAGCATTTCATTCAATGCCTGTTTATTCATACGTAATAAAAAGTTAAGTTTTAAAAAAACATTCAAATTATTAAAAAACGATAAATCTTCCCTTCTTTTAATAAGTTGAATGTTGAGAACCAATTACATCATTCAGAGAGAAGCAGTTTAGTTGTAGGAGTTACAGATCATTGGTCTCGTGTCCAGTCCAAGATCTTCAAGGAATGCCACATGGTTTGAGGGCACCATCCAGAAATTTGAAAAAAAGGGTTAACTATTATTGACTATTATCTCTACAGATATTAAAGCAGAACGAGATTAAACTTTAGTTTAAGTCAATGTTTAAAATGTTTGGCCAGATATTTTCTGTGAACAGTTCCCTAAATTAAACATTAAAAAAATTCATTTTTGTTTTTCAAACATTTCTGTTGTTATTTCACATTCTTTTGCCAAACAGCTTAAATTGTTTGAAATAGTAGCAGACCTCACCAACATCTTGCAAATCATAGAAGATTGTCTGATGCATTATTCCATCTACATTTTACACAGTGGGAGATGGGGCCCATGTAAACCACCATCTTGAACTGCAATTATGAGTCATTTATAAACTTAAATGCACCTCCACTGTAATATCTTCAGTATAATATTTATATTGGAATTATTCAAAAGATCATGTGATGGCATATTAAAAGCATTACTCTGTTGAAAAGAGGATGAGTCCAAACACTTTTTTTCATCCTCAACTCTTCTTGTGTTCTTAAAACATCATTGAGACTTCAGCAAAATTATGTTCTCCAAAAATCTTTTCTGAACTTTACAGAATAGAGCTGAATAAAGTGCAGATCAAGATGAAAGTTCCCACTTGTGTTACTTAATGAGGGGAAAGAGGGGAATAAACTGTTCCATTCCCCTAAGGCCCTCTCTCAATATCTCCCACTTGCGGCCTCCTTAAAGAGGAAACTCCAGTAGCTGTCTCAGTATCTTATCACAGTGATTACCAATCTGTAACAGAATCAAAACATTTTCTGTGAAATGACTCCCACAGATTTGATGGCACCTTTGTGGAGAAGAGTCAGACAGATGAATGTCTCTGTGAAAGAGAGTTGTGTTTTTAGAGGAGCAGAGGAAGAAAGAAAGAGGCTCCTTCATGCATCAGTGATAGAATCAAAGATATTGATCATGACTCATTAAAAGGCATCTGCTAGTATGAAGATTACATTTTATTTCTAACAGTGTTGAATTCACATTTTAAACTTGGGATAGGAGAGGATTTTAGCCATGCTGCATGGTGTTTTGCTGAGTATGGTCTAAGTCTGCAGATTTCATGTAACCACTGGTCGGTAGGTTGGTTTAAGAGAACAGTGTTTGCAGCAGTGTGCAAGCTGCTCATCTCCCCTCCCACCCCGGCTCCTACCCATCCCTCCCTCCACACCTTTGAACCTGTCTCCCACTCCTCTCTCACCACCATTATAACCTGCATGAAACCAACCACCTGCTCCCTCGACTCCATTCCTACCCCTGTCCTTAACTCCCAGCTCAACCTCCTTGCCCCTCTTCTCACAGACATCACAGACAAACCTCTCCCTGCCCACTGGTACTGTTCCCACCCCATTAAAAACTGCCGTCATCACTCCTATTCTTAAAAAAACCTAACTGGACCCATCTCTGCTCTCAAACTACCACCCCATCTCCAACCTCCCTTTAATAATAATAATCCTTGCATTTGATATTGCACTTTTCACGTCTTCTAGGCATCTCAAAGTGCTTCACAGAATATACTGTAAAATGAATTGACTGTATATTTTGTGGACGAAATGTGGCAGCCAATTGCACACAGCAGTGTCCCTCAAACAATCATTGATTGAAGTGACCAAATTATAATATTTTTGTTGAGGGATTATTATCAGGCATGTGGAGTAAGGAAACTTGCCCAAGGTTTCGTCCTGCCAGGAATCTAACACATGTCTCTCACTTGCAAGGCGAGCGCTCTAACCACTGAGCTACAGGACTCCACACGGTCCTGGAACGAGTTCCTCTCCAAGGTCCTGGAATGAGATGTTGCTTCCCAGCTTCGCTCCTTCCTCTCCCACCAAGCCCTTCACGAACCCCTCCAATCGGGTTTCCATGCTGCCCACAGCACAGAAACTGCCCTTGTCAAAGTGACAAATGACATTCTGTCCATCTGCAACCAGGGCTCACTCTGCCTCTTCATCCTCCTTGACTTCTCTGCTGTCTTCGACACCATTGACCACTCTATCCTCATCCACCGCATCTCCTCTCACCTCAACCTTCACAGCACCGTTTTTGAATGGTTCAGATCGTACCTCACACACTGCCTTCACTTCATCTCCACGAACGGTTTCTCCTCTAGCCCCCATAATGTCTCGTGTGGCGTTCCTCAGGGCTCTGTCCTCAGTCCACTTCTCTTCATTATCTATATGCTCCCTCTTGGTGACATCATCCGCAGACATGGGGTCAACTTCCACATGTATGTGGATGTCACCCAACTCTATCTCTCTGCCTCCACCCTTAACTCCAGGACCACTGCTGTCCTGACAGAATGTCTGTCAGACATCAAGTCCTGGATAAGAGCTAACTTTCTTCAGTTGAATATCAACAAGACTGAGACCCTCCTGATTGGCTCCCGTCAGCGCCTCCACACCTCAGGCACTGACAGCATCACCATCCGTGGTTGCACACTCCACCTCACTAAGCCAGTCCGGAACCTTGGGATCTTGTTTAACCCTGAACTATCCCTTCTACCCCTCATCTGTGCCATGACACTCTACCTTCCCCCACCTCCGCAACATCACCCGGCTCCGCCACTGTCTCACACCGCAGGCTGCTAAAATCCTCATTCATTACATCGAGGTTTGACTATGCAAACTTCCTGCTTGTCGGCCTCCCCAACTCCTCCCTCTATTGGCTGTCGATCATCCAGAACTCTGCAGCTGGTGTCCTCTCTCGCACCAGGCTCCATGACCCTTTCACCCCCATCCTCACCTGACAGCACTTGCTTCCCATCACACAGAAGATACAGTTCAAGATCCTGACCTTCAAAGCCCTCCATGGTCTTGCTCTCCCTTACCTCTGCAACCTCCTAACCCCCTACCATCCTGCTTGCTCCCTCCGCTCAGCGGACTCCGGCCTGCTCCACATCCCCCGCCTCACCCGCCCCACCATTGGCAGGCGGGCCTTCTGCCTCTCTGCCCTCACTCTCTGGAACTCCATCCTGCAGTCCCTCCGCCTCGCCCCCCCTCCCTTGCCTCCTTCAAGATCCATCTCAAGACCCTCCTCTTCTACCATGCTTTTAATCACCCTGATTCCCCCAGCCTTCATCCTCCCTAATCTTGACCCCTGGCTCAGGTCCAAAACTCTGACTGTCCAGCGCCTTGGGACATCCTCCCGACATGAAAGGTGCTATACAAATGTAATATTGTTGTTGTTGTTGCTGGGCCCAACGTTCATCTCCAGCGCCTCACTTTGTGAAATGGGACATCCCACGGCTCCATCTAGGGGTGTAACTGAGAACTGATGAAGTTCACAATTAATGGCAGTCGGGTTGGAGGAGCAGGCAAGAGTAGGATGGAGTAAGAACCCACGACCAGCCAACCAAACAGTGGGTGCACTAATCCTTTGTAGGTAAGCTACCGATTTTTTTTTACTACCTAAATACACTACCTAGTTAGATACAGTATTATATTTTAATACTAATACTTAAGTTGAATATTTGCCTCAATAAATCAAAATGAAGATACCTTGCCCTCACGTCATCAACCTTAAAGGGTCTAGAAGGTCATTTCATTCTGAAAGGCACACAATCATCACCCTTACACTGGTGTCCAAAGCAATGAATAATTTTGAACAAACACTTACCCAAAAGAATACCCAGGACTAGGCTTCTTCAGTGCCACCCAGAAACTTATTAGGCAAGTGACCAAGCTAAGGAATAAACAGAGTACAGTCATGAAGCTGATCATCACAAACAAAGAAACGCTATTTTATGTTACTGTGCTCCAGGCTTTTTTCTGCAACCACATTTTTTAAAGAAATGCAAAACATTAAAAATTAATCAATATTCTTTACAGAGATAACCACATTTTACATTGCCAAAGACTAAGTAAGGCATGAATAACTATCACAGCTGTCACTGGGGACTGATGTGTCTCGAGGACACGTTTGCTCTTTACCTAATTTCTGTCAATGACAGGACGCTCAACACTATCTGACACTGCTGTATGTGAAGTAGTAATCCTTTGCCAGTAGCCATTTATATTTATTGAAATGGAGAGTCCCAGTTTGCTGAGATTCTCATGATCTGCATAACTATGTTTACCAATCAGTTGTGATACAAATGCCCCTGTAAAGGTTACAGTAAATAAGACTGCAGAAAATAAATACAGAGACACTCCACCTTTTTTTCTTTGACAAAAGGAAGGCTGCTGGGCAGACAGGATCTTTGAAGGTCAGGTGACAAGGACACGTGTTAACTTGCATTTTTACAGACTTCTGCATTCAGATTTCTGATGTTGATTTAAAGTAACAATATCCAAAGTGATTTTGTCACAGTAAAAAGGATCAGAGACATTTCACTTCCTCTGGTGCCTCAAGCGATGTCAGACCTCATAACTTTGTCAATTGAACTAGTTACTTCACAAATGACAGCAGTTAGCAGATTGATGGTCACTGGACTTATTGAGCTAACCGTGTGGAATTCCTTGTTTATTCAGCAAGGGTTAATTCCTTAACTGGTTGGTGGTATCATGTATTTAATTCAAACTATGAAATGTCCTTTACAGCTTTCATGATAATTTGTTTGCAGAAAATGTTGCAGACTAAATTATTCAAGTAGTTTCTTCAGGTCCAATATTCCAAGAAACAAAATCTTCTTTTATGTTGCGTTCTTCCTTTGGAACAAAAACATGGCGTAACATTTAATTTTTTTTAAAAAATGGACCAATTTTAAACCACACTAGGATTTCAATCATGTGAGAGAACTTTAACCAGAGTCAATTTTTTTAAAATGAAAATGGCAAGGCACACCGCCAAAATCAGAAACACTAGTGGCCTGGATGCAAAGTATACTGCTCTGTTAGAATTTGTCACTTCTATCAGATTGTGCTCCTCTTCATTACCCCGCTGCCCTCTCGCTCTCTCTGCCAGAGTATGCTGTTCTCTCCTTTCCCTCTCTCTGCCAGAGTACACTGTTCGCTCTCTCTGTCACAGTATAATGCTCTCTGTTTGCTAGAGTATGCTGCTTTCTCCAAGGCACTGTTGATAACAGACCAGCCAAGCCAAAGCCCCAACACACAGGGTGATTATACCTGCAGAAGGAAGCTTGCCAGATAGGGATCTCAATGGTAAGTTATGTGGTTTTAGCTGGTTCAATTCCAGCACTACCTCAATGAACTTCCTGGAATGCTGGAGTCCACAAGACTTGGCTTTTGCCAACCTGCGCCTCATACTTTCTGGAAATAGATAAGCAAATATCCCTCCAGGAAGAGGGAAATTCCCATGTGTAGGTGGCATATACATGTTGAACTCTGTCTGGTTTCGACAGTCTTATGCATAGTAATGTGTTTCTGCCTATGTCAGATGATGCTACTCTCTCTCTGACATGGAAACTTCTTTGGTGCCTCTGTAATGAAAAGGGGTGGTGGTGGGTGAGTTATTGTCCAGTTAGCGCATTCAATGAGTGGACTAAGGCTGTTTGCTGATCTTGGTAAATTTGTCCTTTTGCACTTCAAAAAAACTCACAGCAGATTTTTGAAAGTATAATTCATATCTCTCATGTAATTTTAAAGTATGAATGATAACATGTTTGCTATTTATAATGATATTTACAGATCTGAAAAACTCTGAATGCGACCAGCATTGAGCCCAAAGGAATGAATGTGCTGTGTGGTGGATCAGCACAAGAACATTCTCATTGAAAGTGACTTTTTTTTAAAAGAACATAAAAATATAGTTAGAAATAAAATTAAAAGATATAAAATTTACCTGAAGAGATCAAAGATGGTTAAATAAGTGTAAGCCGTCAAAGCTGTAGGGAAAGAAAAAAACAAATGTATACATTGGAACTTTTGTTTTCAATGTCTGTTCATAGCAATTACCATGGAAAGCTTTTCACAGGCTTAAGGTAACTTCTATGTTTCGCCCCAAAAATATACAATCAATTCACTTCACAATATATTTTGTAAAGCGCTTTGAGACATCTCGAAGATGCGATATGGCGCTACATCAAATTTAAGGCTTATTTTTATTATTATTATCTCTCCAACTCAATGAATTTTGCCAACTAATTTCACGTCCAAGAATCATTTCAAAATATGTCTTGTTGATTTCTGCTGAATTACTTTACTTGATTTGAGCGCCGATTTGCTACTGATAAGATTAATTCTTCCCTAAATCATTGTGTTCCTTCTTCCTCTTTGGCAATTCAAAACTAAATCTACTGTAAATGAAAATCTAACAAAGAGCAAAGGGATGTCAATACTGTAACATTTGGCAGCAGAGTGTTTATTTTCAATTTCTTAAAAGTTAATATCTACACTTTGGCATGTGTTCAAAGAAAGGTATAATTAACAGCCAGTACTTTGCTACATTGAATCTTTATCTTAAGCTTGTTGACAACACCGACAGCGATGTGGCCCTGATTTATCGTAAGAGGATTCAGACAGTTTATGTTCCAGTGAAATGGGCAGAGAACGATGCTATTGGTAGGATGGATGGGTATGAATGCCAATGGCTCAGTAGTTCTTAGAAGATTTCTACTTTAATCTATTTCTTCTCAATGCTTATGATCTTAAAGCAGGCTTGGCTTAGAACAATCTGCAAATATTACAGCATGTAAAATATAACATAACAGCATGTAAAATAAAACCTAACACTAGATCGAGGAGGGAGTGGGAGGGGAGGGGCGACTGACAGCTGCAACACAAGGCAAGTGAGGGAGGAACTCTGTTTACTAAACCAATCTTTTGACCCAAAGAGGCTCTGGAATGGACACAGACATGCTGAAGCATTTTTCATCATGAACTGTCCGGATCAGTATAAAATAATCCCGCTTGTGGAGCGCATAAGTGGATTTGATAAAATATTTTTCTTATAATTCCAACAATATTAAAAATAATAATAGATAACGATGGAGGGGAAGGGGATTTTTAATTAAAAAAGGCTTCAAACCACCTATTTACTGCAGCACGATTATGTGAAATTCTTCTTTTAAGTACAACTGTCCATCAAAGCACTATATAATGAATGCCACCTTTCCACGGGACTGTCTTGAAGGATTTCAGTTGACCTTCTGTTTAAAAAAACACAAGTACTTTAAGGATGCTCCAACCCTCATTTCTATAACCTTTATTTTGCCGTGCATTTTAAATCCATGTAATCTCTTTTATACCTTCATCTCAAACAGTGTGCTTGAAATAGCTTTTATTTAACTCTATATGACAATTCAACTCCTAAAATGCACATCTGGATATTTGCATCCCAAAGTAGCATTATAATATATAGTAATACGTATTCTCTCTCTTTATTGAAGGCTTCTTTGAAGCAGAATGTTCAATACAAATCTAGGATGCTAGCGATATAGGATCAATCCCATATTCCGCTGTATTCCAGAGGTATAGAGATAGGAGTCGGGGACCTTTGACAGAGAGAAATACAAAGATCCAATATTGGCCAATTGACATCAGCAATATTACAAAAGGGTTAGGATCATAATAGAGAAAAAACTGCCATTTCCAACAGGAATTTTCTCAAAATTCCTTGACATTTTGCCACACAGTAAGTACTACAGTTTTTAAACATTTATGTGTGGGCCCTGGCAAGTTATCAGTCTTTTCATTTTCCCCATTTAAATTATTCTGAAGGTTTGCTTGATACTGAGACCTGAACATTGCTGGCATATTTGCTAGTCAACAGAGCAGATTTGGAAGCTAAAAGCTTTTCATGCCATCAAGCTGCTGAAATGAGTAACCATCTTGTGGCCCACAAAAAGTGGTATCGCACACACAAAAAAAAATCTTTTTTTTCCAGACTCCATTAAGAAAATTCTAGGATAAGCAAAAATTGCTCATTTTAAATTGCTCAGGAAATTAATAGAATGTGGTGTTGTATCATGATATACAAGTTAGTAGAGTCCCAGATTCCTAGTTTTTAACAAGTAAGCTGATCAAGATAGTGGTGTACACTGCACAATGATCTTCGCAGTAAAAATGACATTTGTGCTCACAGGGGAGGTCAGACAGACACCATCTTCTTGGCACCCGCCAGCATCTCCTCACTTCAGGCACTGATCTCCTCAAACTCCCCGTATCAGTGCTGTTCAGTGCGCAATCTTGGCATCCAGTTCAATCATAAGCTCGCTCTCCTTTCTCCCTCACATGAGGAGAAAATAGAGGGATAAAAGATAAGCCAAAATTAAATAATCCAAGGTAATCGTTTTCAACCCACTCTGTATCGCAATTCACACAAGAACATCTTCCTTCTTTTCTTTTATCTTAACCTTACCTCAATTTCAATTTAATTTTAAGAACACTAGTTAGTCAACTTCATCTACTCAATTCTTCAATTCTCTCTAATCAGAGAGCCATTTAATAGACTTCCTGTAAAACACCCTGGTTTACTATCAAATTTCTCTTCCTTCTCCTCTTATATGTACACTAACAACCTTGGTTATTATTCCAAACATAGTTTTCATTGCTTGACTAAATTCCTGCCAATTATCTTCAGGCATTTCAAACCATGCTCTCCATTCTCGGCTATCCTCTTCCCTCACTTACAAGTGGCTAGCCTGTCCTTCCTTGTGTATTGCTACTGAGAATGTTATTAACCTCCTATTCTCCCCCAAATTTTACAAATTTGTTTTCTTAATATGACTGAGAATTTCCAATCTGCACTACTCTCTAGCTGTTAACATAACCTAGTAATGTTTACAAATGTGCTGGGCCAATAGAAAAGTGCAGCTGCAATTTTTCCATGGAATCCACTATAAACCCACTAAAAAAGGTAGTTTCAGGGTCCAGGTCTATTGCGCAATTTATCTAAAACAACTGTGGGCGGAGTGGCTCTGGACATACATGCGCACTGCGGCGCGAGCGGGAAATAGGCTTCACTCCACTCGGAGGCTTCACTTTCACCCGCTGTTGAGATTGTCTGTGTGTCTATCTCTCTATGTGTTTGTGAGTGTATCTGTGTGTGTGTGTGACTGTGAGTGTCTGTATAAGTATGTCCCCCCCTTACCCCCCACCCCCCGTATGTATTTTCCACAGCATTGATAAAATTTTCTGCAATCTGGGACAAATATTTTCGCGCTTTTCTATTGGCCCAGCGAATGAGGCATTAATACGTCTGCATAGTGCCATCCGTAATTGTACTGGAGGCTATAAGACCTACCCAAGTTGATGTACTCATACCAGAATTGTAATGAATCGGCTATGTCACTCAGCCTCTGGTTATACAGGCAAGTAAGTAGTTGTTTCTAATGATCAGATACAGACCTGCCCAAATTGATCTGCGTGCATTCCCTACAAGACAAAAGAAAACTGCACATGAACTCTCAGTCGCACATTTTCACACAGGAGTATGTCGCCCCCTCCCCCCCCCGTGTGTATTTTCCACAGCATTCAGCATTTTAACTGGTTAGACTCCAGAGTGCACATTTCATTCCAATAAATATCTAGAGAATCTCCATATATGTATGTATGTAGGTGGAATGTATGGAATTCTCAGTTTGGTTTGGATACTCAAGCATGATGATGTATTTTCTCATCTGTCAAGACACCCAGCTGACCAAAACAGCTGTTTGGTTTAGGGACTCTTAAGCATGGTAACATCAAGCCCTAGATGAGACTCAACTTTCTCCAACTCAAAATGTGAACAAAACTGAGGCTATTGTATTCGGCTCCATTCAGCACCTTCTCACGTCAGGTGCTGAACCTATCAACCACCTCAATTGTTCATTTTAACTCACGGAGATTATGTGGAATCTCAGGATTTTGTTGAACTCTTTACTCTCCTTTAAGCCTTTCATCCGAGCTCGAATCAAGTCCACTTTCCTCTATTTCATGAACACTCATTGATTTAGCGTTTTTAATAACTCAAACAATTTGGCCAAGGATCGTCTGTAATAACCTGTGTAAATAACAGACTACATAAGCATTGCGTAATATTACAAAAGTAATACTGCATTAATTTCTGTTGGGAGTATGGGAAAGGGAAGAAAGATAGCACACACACACACACACACACAGACACAACAGGACATAATCTGTGTTTTTTTTCTTTACAGCATGAAAAGTGATCACAGTATTTCATACACCTCTCACAAGGCCAAAGATATTTTAAGATACTGTAATAGATAGCACTGTATTTTCCAAATTAATGACCACTGCCTTATAGTATTAGTAACAACAACAGTCATCCTGATGGCCATTCTCCAAGTTAAAGGTATTAAGTTATGCCTAGGACAACAAAGAAGTTAGGTCTATTGGCAGCAAGAAGAAACAGATAGTTACAGTAAGAAGATCCCTGCTTTGCAGCTAATCCTCCAGTCAGTACAACAAACAGACTCAGTAACGGAGATCATCTAAAAATATATGTCTTTCAGGCAAATATTTGGACACACTGACAACCACATGGAGGTTTACGAATGGAATCACCACAGTGAAGTATGTTGAAAGCGGGTCTAAGGGTTTGATCATTGTGCACAATTTTTTATCGACCCATTTCATATTTTTGCAAATTGAAGTTTTAAAATAAATTGTGCATTTATAAGTTTGAGTCAACCCTCCTTGGGTACAATGTAAATATTGTTACAGTACAATACAGGAGGGACTAATAAGGCTGAAATTACTCTTGAGGGTCACGTGACATAATAAGCCATAAAGGCAAAGTTAGTGATTTTTGGTCAACTTTAAGTTGTGTGATTCAGTATCACAACAGAAGCCTATACTCTAAAGCTGGGCTACTAAACACATGATCTGCAAGCCACGGCCCATCAATTTGCTTGCCTTATCAACTTGCCCTCTCCCTCCC